GATATTTAAAATACAATGTGCGAATAAAACATTTTTGTATCGTGTTTTTGTGATTACGTCGTTTAAAGTTGAGACTAAAAACTAAGATTTATCACAACAAACTAAGATTTATTACACTACTTTAGAGATACTTGGCGTGAGATATTTAAACAACACTAAAGTTATAAGACTGTAATATTTGATTGCATAGATTTCATAACAAAAAGTTACAAATTCAATGCATGTTATAAAAAAATCCAAAAATGAACATAAATAATTAGAGAAGTATAACTATTTTTTTACTTTATCTTTCCATCTTCTTGACATATTTTTATATAATTTTATCTATTCAATATGTCAAAACTGATTTTACGTGTGATATGAACTTTACAATACTTGGCAAAGAAATATTCCAGCTGACCATTATGTTACATTTTGTAACACGATGTTCGATGTTTATACGTCTTTAGTACTAGATATAGTATGAAAAATACCACTAGTAATTTTGTTCAACTTCGTTTATACTTGAAATGTAGTTTAAAACAGGTATGTTCCTGTTTATTTCCATTCACACAAATACGCGTATAAAAATATAATATAGTGACCTTGATCAAGTATATACATTGTGTGGAAAAGAGCTCAGAGGGATAACCGATTTTCCTTTCCATATTTTTGCCAATGCATGCATAAATGATACCATGGCAAAAATAATTTAAGTTGTGACACAGAAATAACTATAAATACACCGATTGTCATTGCAAAGTCATAAAATTATGATTGTTTAAGACATTCATTTGGATACTTGTATATTATCTGAGTTTGATATAAATAAAGTTAAGAGATGAAACGCTACAACAACAAAAAGGTGCTTATAGTTTAGACAAAATAATTAAAATCTGACTCAAGTATGAATCATTTCCTTAAATAAAAGAGAAAAGTTGAAAAAATATATAATTATAATTCAATCATTTGACGGTCAAGGTCATTTTAAGATCAAGGTAATATCTAAATTATTCTACATGTTTGTTTGGTCGCAAGTCTTGTTTTTTCCACGTATGAAAACAAATCCGTGTTAAATTAACAAAATTATGACAACTTAACCAAACTTTAACCAAAATTCACTACTTTGACCTAGATGGTCAAGGTTGTATAAAGGACAGTTAAGCCATTAAGAAGGGCTTGTCTAAAAGGATGTTTTATCCAATTATGAAAATAACCCATTGATAAATTACCAAGTTACATCGAATTACCGGATAGGTGAACATTAAAATAATTTAACGTTAAAGGTCAAGGTCATACATGAGTCAAGGTCTTTGTGAGTTTGATACACATAAAAGTCTTTACCTTAAAATGTTGTGTCCAAATATGTAATTAATCCATTAAGATAAAAGTTATAGCCAGTTACAGCAAAAGAAATCAATAATTTGACCTTCAAGCTCAACGTAATAAATGAGTGTGGGTCAGTAACAGAAAAAACAAGAGGATTTCATTAATTTCACCTTGAATGTAAAGGTCATTTTAAGTTCAATATGTCATCTATATTAATTGATATGTTTGTTTGGTAACAAGTCTTGTTTTGTTTAAGTTTAAATCAAATCCGTCATAAATAACACAATTATAACAATTTAATAACAATTCAATAATTTGACATTTATGAAATACCAATTTTGCAGTCAATTATTGCGATAATCGGTGAAATTTTAATGATATAACCTTCAATGTCAAGATTATAAAAGAGCCAAGGTCAATGTGGGCTTAATATAAATGAAGGTCGAATCCCGAAAAAATGTTGTGTTATGATATGAAGTCAACCCATTTATAAGTAATAAAGTTATAGCCAGTTACAGCAAGATAATAAATAATTTGACCTTTTGACTGCTGGGAGTATTGAGATATTTGGAAAGTATAAATTAAGAAAAATTCTAATTGTTTAAAATTAAAGTCTGTTGATTGAAGCTGTTTTGAAATCATATATACTGAAAACAGGCGTCTTGTGGAAAATAACATAAACAACTACAAAAACAATAGCAACAACAACATTAACATCAACAACATTAACAACAACAACAACAACAACAACAACAACAACAACACAATTTTTGTTCTCTTCCTACCAAGCTTGATATTGTAAACAAATTATTTACATAAGAGGAATGCTGGTATAATTTATTGCCGCCTTTTATCATATATTCGATATTGAAAAAAACAACAACAACAATGAATTGAATTGTTTTTGTTTCGTACATAAAAGAAATGATTTATTAATATTTAACATTTTTGTCCTCTTTATTAGTATGAGAATTGCCATATCCAGTTTTTACACCTTGATAGGAAACTGTTATATTGTTTTATAAAAGCACCATTAGATCATTGTACATATTGATCTGGAAAAATATTTAAACATTCTTTTCTTTGACATGACAATAAAATACTTCAATCATTTGAAATAAGTATTAGTTTTTACTTGTTTGAAAATGTTCGATCGATTTTTGCACTAAATACATCTATGGCGTGAAAAAATATGAACGAACAGCTTTGATTACAGTCGCATATAAATGTGATTGACATGAAGAATCTTAAAGTTAATTTTGCTTAAAGCAGTTAATGCACTAAAACAATTTTGTTTGACATTTATTACCATTGATATATAGAATTTTGTAGTTAAGAATAAATTTAGTTAGAGCATATAGATATTATGTCGGTTTTTGTACATGTCATGTACGTATATGGCCTTGGCCGTTCTTTATATATAACCAAGACACAGTACAAACATGACATACAATTTTGTACCAAAACAAGAATAACAACAAAATACCAAGTTCAGGTATATCGAACCTAAATATGCACTTTATTTAAAAAACGAATTTTAAAGATGATAACTTTTAACGCGATACATGAAAGTTGAGATGGCACTGCAAACCTTATCGCCGAAATACACAAATAATGTCATGTCAAAATCATATATATAGCTTCGCCATTGAAAAAATTATAAAACACCGATTTGCCATGACAATGTCATACAATTATAGTTGTATAGCACATTCCTATAGATATACTTCAATTCAAATTCAACTGTTTTAGTTCTTTACTATGTTAAATGAATCCGTCTCACAAACGATTCTCAGCTCCAAGTTGCAAGAAATATCTACCCATTTTAAGTCAAATGGGAAATAGAATACCACACAATTTTCTACCGTTCCACCACCTGGATCACCACCTCCCCAGTCTTTTAAGACCATTTGGTTTTCAGTACCATGTTCTACCCAGGTTCCCTCTGTAACAATGTCTGTGAAGCCAGTAAAGTAAGCGTATTCGTCAGCTAAACATGTTATAAATAGAATTAAATACGATATATAAAGAAACCAGTGTTTCAGTACCAGACAAATATCAAACATTTACAATAGCTACAGTCATAATTGCTAACTTGCTTGGATGTGTGCTATTAAGGATGATTGTGCAGTTATAAGTTAAAATTACTGCAGCAGCAATTTCTTATGACTTGTCAACAGAAAGATATGTAATGACAAGCCGTATGCGTATATAATCAGTTTAAAAGGTTTCCTGAGGGGATAGGTTCTTGGTAATTTAAAGATATGTCATTATAACTGTTTTCAAAAAATATGTGTTTGAAAAAAAAACAACGTTTGCATCGATAATATAGTATCAATTCAAGAAAGTCTTTGGGAATAAACGCTTTCACATAGTTGTTCTCGTTTATATAGCAGATTATAACATGATAAACATTTTACCCATTGAAAGTGTCCTCAAATATGAATATATATGATATCAATATATGTATATGTTGTATATTTAGAGTTAAAGGACGCTTTCAGATACCTGTCCTCTTCCTTGTTTTCCTAAAGTATAAGCATCTAATGTATGAAACGTGTCCTTAAATATGAAGCATATAAATACCTGCATGTGTATACATGGTATATAAGATCATTAACGTATTCGACGTCTTTATTGTTAAATTTAACAAGATAGACATTTGATGCATAAAACGTGTGTTCTTAGATACGAAGCAGATAATTTACCTGTATGTGTATATTTTGATTTAATAAACGCCTTCAGAAAGTTGTTCTCTTCTACACTGTCCACTATAACAGGGTAAGCATTTAATGCATGACATAAGTCCTGAAATATGATTAAGATATATGGTGATATACATTTTTTTTGAAAAAAAAAAGATGTTTAAGTTTTATATTGTTTTTTTTTCTTGGTTAATTTGTTTAACTGTACCAGAAAATTGTTTTATAACCAACATAATGACAAGAAATATATATAGTCCTTTAATGAAGACATATTTTATTTCTATTTTACCAAAGCTTTATAACTTTGATATACATTTTAAGTGACCAAAATGTTACTCTTTTTCAATTACCTGAACTATAATTTTCATCAGTTTCTTTTTTGGCTATAAGTATAGTAATATTGAATAAGTATTTTGTATGGAAGTCAAAATACTTATTTGTTTATATTTGGCTACTTTTTTGACAATTGATTTCACATAAATCTCTTTACTTTTTCAGGTTGCAAACTACTATCATGCTACTTACATGCTCTAAATTCATCAAGAGAAACATTATTAGAAACGTTATACAATGCACGTGATCTCGTTATAAAGAAACAAATATCTTTTTGGTCCTTGGGCATAATGTGCCTTTTAAATATTCAAGCTTCATGTAAAAGAATCATGAAATATATGAGTGATAATTAAAATGCGGGTTTAATATAGAAATCAAATATAGGTCCGCGCAAGTGGGCGCGTAGCAATTACACAGATACACAGAATACACAGAAAAGGATATGCTTACCAAGCCATTCTGAAAGTTCATTTTCCTCTCTGTTATGATGTAACAAGAATTTGCGAAGTAATTCCAGCCTTCCCAACATTCTGTTGTGAACAAAATTCAATCACGTTTTTGTAAAACTATCTTAAATGCCAATTATGCCTAAGACATTCTATTATTTCTATTTCACAAATATTTTTTTAGTTTTTATTTTTTAAAACAGTTTCCAAAAAAAATCTCATTCGTCACCTATATGAACTTTCTTTGCTTCTTTGCCTTGTTGGCAATCGTTATAATAAAACTGAATTAGTGTTTTGTATGGAAGTCAAAATACGACTTTGTTTACATTATGCTACTTTACGACACATTACTACACATTCTGTGCTTCTTTCTTTAGCTGATTAACATCTACCATTATTAAAACATTATTAAACACACGTTTGAAAATTCTAAAGAAGTTAATAAATATGGATTTTTTTTACATGTTTCTGGGGCATAATGTGCCTTTTATATAACATAACTTGGTATCATTATGCCACAGAAGACTTAAAGCACAAATTACACTAAAAAATACACCTTTTTTGTGTATGAGGCTGTAAAGAAAGTTCAAATATGTGTTTGTTTACTCTCTGTTTACCAATTACATATACGAGAATAAATGGGTAATTGCAAATTCATTAAAACTTAGTGCCATATTTACCTTGCGGGTTTCCTAATTTGCTTCTGTTTAATTTGGGTTTGTCTTTGGAATACAGGGGAAACAATATCAATCAATTTGTAAACGTAAACAGTTTAATTTGCACTCTATTATGTTTTTATTTTTCAATTCTACAACATCATAGACAAAAAGACCGGAAAAACAATAATTTATTATAAAAGAAACACATTATTGGCCCAAATTTAAAAATTATTAAAATAATAGTTATAGAAAAAAGGAGACATTTTTAATGCCGACAATTACACGTATGTCAATTATAAGAAGTCACGAAGCCTTGCCTTGTATTAAAGAATCTTAGTGAATTCAAACATGGGTTATAAACAGAAATTAGTCAAAATAAGACTCTTGCAACCTGACAATAATAAGACCCATCGATACCTTTATCTTTTCAAGGTCATTTGAATTAATTGTTTGTTATTCAAAGATGAAACATAATTAGTTTAAGGTTCTTGAAATTTTCTGCAAGGTATAGTTATCTAAGATGCATAAGTTTACATAATATTTACAGACCAGACTGACGATTTGAAAACATATTGTATTTAAAGTTAATATACAGTCGCACTGTTTATCTCTGTCTTTTGAAATATTTGTCTTGTGTTGATATGTTATTTACAGTTGTTAAATATATTTATGACATCAGTCTCAGTAACTTTTATCAATAAACTTAATGAATGTTTTTTTTTTTTTTGTTTTTTTATTGTTTTTTTTTAAAGGAAGTCTTTCCGCGCTATTCAGAAATTAATTGCAATTTTAATACTGTGAATGGCTTCAAAGCAAAAGCAATAAATAAATAAATAAATTATAATATTAGATAATTATTTAATTTTCATCTCAACCTATGAATTGAATTGTTGATACGTTTAAATTAAATCTTCATTTAATTTGAAAAGAATTATTAGAAATTTACCGAATTTTTAATTCTACCTGATTTGAATTGAACTGTTGATCTGCTTTAAATAAATTTATGTCCAATCGAAAAAGAAATATAAGATGATTACTGATTTTTAATTTCAACCTGTGAATTGAATTGTTGAATGCTTTAAATAGGTTTCTGTTTAATTTTAAAAGAAAAATTCTTGTACATCCCTTTTTTAGATTTTAAATTACTTGCCTCTTTTTGTTTGTCCGTTTGTCTGTTCATTATTTATTGTCACTCTATATCTCTAAATACCATGAGAAATTGTTCTTGTTACTGCTTTGAAATTGTTTTCTTCAACATAATAACAGTACTTTATCTATCAACAGTTTTATTTATATGCCATTTTTTTAAAAATTTAACTTTACTTTTCTTTTCATTATTTTTAGATATTTAACTTACCTTGTTGTGTATAGTATCTAAAACTTTCATTTAGTCCTCCTAGTTGATAAGACATTTCAAAGCTGGCGGCGCAACCTGTACACCGCCCAGTAGTCTGTGAATGAAATACACTTTTACAACCGGAATTGTATACACATGCTTGCAAACAGACAGATATGTCGTAGATCTCAATTTTACTAAACACAGATTCTTCATCCTTGCATAGAGGTTCTTCAGCATTTTCATTGCGTTTAAACAGAGCCCTAATATCACCGTTTGTAGACGCAAATATTGCGTAGATATGAAAAACAATGATTAAATTTTTTTTCTGCTTCATTTTTCCGACAGTGGTTTTTTTCTTCCTTTTTTATTTCTTTAAGCTTTGAATTTTGCAGGAAATACTTAAGAAATCTACACAGCGTATCAAAATTTTGTTTCTTTTTTATTTAACCAAAGCATCATAGTTTCAGTTAGTGACCCGATACAAGATATACGGTTTTGTGAAAAACCTGTTTCGGGGCAAGACCGAAGATTTATCCAGTGTCAGGCCATTATATAACCCTATCATTATTAGGTCATGCTAACTATCTTACTTGTAATCAATAGCAAGAACATCCTAAAACTTCCAACTGTAAATGCTTTTCTGACTTTACGTTTTTTGGAAGATTTATATAGAAGACATCAGATCACCACGTGACATCAGAACTTCCAATGGGAGAAGAATTTCATTTTTTGATGATATTCAGCGCTCTGCGTCGCAGTATTTCAACACATTTTCATGTAAAGCCATTATTAAAAAAATAAAGCCAGACAAAACCTACTACATCCAATAAAGAGCTATTTAGTGCTTATATCTTAAAATTTCCTGAAACGTATTTGGACTGGCTTTATAAATTGCAAAGTAAATATGAAATGTCAATGTGTTCTAGTCACTAACGTCCTTTTAAAATGTCCTTTTAAAATTCGGATGTCGGTTCAGTAATTTAAGGGAGGATTTGTCAATAATTGAATTTTTTCAACAAGTATTTTATTCACATTTGAAATAGAATGCTTTGCACTGGAAAAGTCGATCAAGTTCTATCAGATCTATTGAAATAATATATCCTTTATTTACACGCGCTGATGTGTATTTTTTTTTAGATTTTTTTATTAACAATAATATTGTTTATAAGAAGTTTATACCAGTTTAAACTATCTAACTGAAGACTGTTTGCAAATTCTGCTACCAGGATTCGCTGAAAACAAAACGTATTATTTAGACAAAAGTACAGAGTGTGATGCTAATTTTAGCGCCTACTTAACCGCTTTGCTCCTAACTTCGACCGCCCGCCTGGTCGCTGGGCCGCTTACTTTGCATCCCCTTCCTGCAGCCAAGGAGATATAGGATGTTGTGTGTCGTATACGCGTTATACTTAATTATGTCCTTATTCTTTTAGAAGTCACTTATTGTACTCTGCAAAGCCGCTTGGCCGCAAGCTTCAGACTGCAAAGTCGCTTGGCAGCCATCTTCAGGCTACAAAGTCGCCTAGCCGCCACCGTCAGCCTGCAAGTCGCTTGGTCGCCGGCTTCAGGCTGCAAAGTCACTTGACTGCCGGCTTCAGGCTGCAAAGTCGCTAGGCCGCCGGCTTCAGGCTGCAAAGTCACTTGACCGCTAGCTTTAGGCTACAAAGTCGCTTGGTCGCCAGCTTTAGGCTGCAAAGTCGATTGACCGCTAGCTTTAGGCTACAAAGTCGCTTGGTCGCCAGCTTTAGGCTGCAAAGTCGATTGACCGCAATTTTACAGTCAAATCAATGTGATTTCTAAAGAATAATTGGGCATCAAAAAAGAACTTATCTTTGTGAAAAGATTTCAACAAATACAAGTTACCAATTTTATATCTTGGACTGGAAAATGTTAAAGAACTGTTTTCAATTTCAACTAATGAATCCTTTTTTTTCAATTTGTTATTTTGTTTAAAATGAACTCCTGTTTTAGATAAAATCGAAATTGATAAAACAAAAACAACTCTTTTAAAATGCATTTTTAAGTGCTTCATATACGTTATAGAATGATGTATTGACAATATATAAGTGTAAACAATACACGTGATTTTATTTATTGAGTACATTTAAACATTCGTTTCTAAAACTGCATGTCATAGACGGTACTCGAAAGTGCCTGCTTGAAATCTTTTAATTATTAGCTGAAAAAATATCCTTTTAATTGTGTAAACAATAAACAATTTGTAATGTAAAGTGCACTTTTCATAACTGTTTACAAATACTTTTAATAATCTTGCAATGTTGTTTAAATGTAAAAGTCAGTCTAAGTACGTATGCAAAAAATATTAAACGGTTAAAAAGGCAGTTTGAACTGCTTATTCTTCTGCCACTAAGAATAGCATTTACCACATATATTAAGTAGAAATTGGCTCAGATACAGCCAAGACAAATGCACTGTACAACTTATGATATCAAAAATAAAATTGATATGAAGTTTGTTTATGTACCGAAGAATATCAAGTGGTTATTACGTCATCACGCACATTCAAAATGCTTCCACCCGGACTTTGCTTTGTAAACATCCTATCACCTGGATAGTAAAATGTTTTTATTCTAAGAAATTGATTAAATCTCAAGAAATAATGAAGCGCATCAAAGTTTAGTACTTGATATAATTCTAAAAAACGTTCACAGTTTTAAATTTGTCAACATGGCGTAGAAAAATCAACATGTGCCAATTGTTGTTAGATAGAAAAGAATAACATCATTCGTTTTAGATGACAAAAGCCTAATAAGTCTATTTTTCATACTGATTTGATTGATATTTTTTATTGATAAAGAAACAAAAACAGAACCAGAATATTTCCTTATCTTACATAAAACGATAAGATACTTTAATGTTCCAATTTAAATTTAAAAACAATATAACTTTTAAGCAAAGTTGAGATTGATCTCACCTGTCAGTAAGCATACATGCAAAAAGAATTCTTGTTGGCAGCTAAGTTAAAGCTATTAGAAATGGGAATGACATTACGAATTTTAAAATAGCTTGCATATAATTTGAACACAAATAATATGGTTGAAAATTATCATCTAACGTAATAAAAAAAGTTTTAAAAAAATTAAAACTGATTCAGATTGATTGATGATTTATTAAAATGAACTTACCTTTAGAATACACTTGCGTAGATTGTGAGAAATTCATCAAATATTCTCTGTTTTACAATGCTTGATCAGTTGTTTGAAATGCACGTCAAGAATTAGAAATTGAAATATATTGTGCATTTGTTTTTGTTTTTCTTAAGAAAGGACAAACATGTGTTTTATACTGTTATCTTGAATGTATTTAAGGTGTGTTGGGTGTTTATCACCCGGAAAAGAAGCATAGAATGTGAAATAATTTGTTATAAAGGCAGCAAAACGGTAACAAAGTAGTATTTTGACTTCTTCACAAAAAGTATATTACTATAACTAAGCTGAATGTCAAGAGGCAAAAGAAGCACAAAACGGTTTATAGTTCGTGACTTTGGAAATTATTTAATTTCCTTACCGCATGACCTACATAACTTTGCTTTAAAGTTAAGGAAAAGCCAACTTGTCTTCCTGTTATTGTTAGATATGATACTTATAAGAAACCCAATTAATGTTTGATTCCAGTTATAGTTTCCAAACAAAAGGTCAAACAAATTTGCTAAAAAGATGAATTATCTTTGCTCCCTTTGCTTATTTTGGCAACTTGTATGATTATAGTAAATGAGTATTTTATATCAAATTCAAAATACTTCTTTGTTTACATTTTGCTACCTTTACCACACATAACTGCACATTCAGTGCTACTTTCTTCTGTTGTGTAATATGTAACATGCTCTGAATCCGTTAAAATAAATATTATTTAACACATGTTTCATATTTCTATAGAATTTAACAGCTATGGATATCTGGGGCATAATTTGCCTTTTATGGGACACAATTTAGATTTTCTGTTGACTTCTGGAAACATATGTTTTTTCAAATTTTCATACCATCATATAAAAGTATGTACAAATTAATTGGGTGCAAGTTTACTTTATGCAGTATCTTAAATGAAAGCAATTAAAATGGTAAGTTCAAAACATCTGAATTAAACAGATTTTAGAATAAAGTTTGCAGGCCTGCTGCATCAAGGTTTCGTTGTAATTTCTTTTGAAGTTCAGATGGCTTCATTTGGTATAATAACCACGATGTATATAATGTTTTAAAGAAATCGAACTGTACAAATGCAAGTACTAGTTTATTTGAAATATATCAGTTAATCAAATTGACTGATTTTAGGTCGTTTTTTCATTTTTATAAAACATGACTTTTAAAATAAAATAAAAATGTTTGTATACACCAAATAGCCTTACATATCTGTAAACAATATTAAGGACAAGTTCACTTTCAAGGTTAAATGTTTAAAAGATTTTTGAGCGTTTTGAAATACTAGAAACTCA